TCACAACTGCATTTTCAAAAATCTTTTGTAAGACACCTTACTGGGTTAGGTGATTTAGAACAACCTTACCTCCATCATGCTGACCATTAATTTACAGAAACATTGGGTTGATTCCCTGAGAATCTAGGCTTAAAATAGTAAAAATAAAGTGAAACTGAGTAAAAGTCAATTAGAAGAAAACAAGCAAGCCAATTAAAAAAAAATTATATGGTCAAAGACCATAACAGACACCTTACCAAAGAAAATATACTGATGGTAAATAAACATGTAAAAAGATGTTCCATATCACACACCATCAGGGAAATGCAAATTAAGGCAATAAAGAGATACCATTATACAACTACTAGAACTAAAACCCAACACTGACGCTATCAAATGCTGATAAGAATGTAGAGCAAAAGGAACTCTCACTCATTGATGCTGGTAATGCAAAATGATACATCTACTTTGAAGGACAGTTTGGTGGTTTCCTACAAAATTAAACATTCTTACCATATAGTCCAGAGTCATGCTCTATATTATTTATCAAAGGAGTTGAAAAGTAATACCCAGGTGAAAACTGGCTTACTGATGTTTATAGCATCTTTACCTCTAAAGCCAAGATTTGGAAACAACTAAAATGTCCTAGTAGCTAGAAAAACTGTATTTTCTACACCAAAGAATATTACTTGGTGCTAAAAAGAAATGAGCTACCATGCTACAAATAGATATAGAGGAAACGTAAATGCATATTACTAAGTGAAAGAAGCCAATCTGTAAAGGTTACTACTTTATGACATTCCTATGTCATATAACATTCTGGAAAAAGCGAAAGTATGAAAACACTAAAAAGATAGATGGTTGCCAGAGGTTTAGAAAGGGAGGAATGGTTAGATATAGTACAGAGGATTTTTTCAGGGCAGTGAAACTAGTCTGTATATAATAAAATGAAGCTGGTGGAGCAGCACAAGTGGTAGCACGCCTGTCTAGCAAGCACAAGGCCCTTAGTTCAAATCCCAGTCCCCACCTCCCCTCAAAAAAAGAACTCATATGTTCAAAGGAGTTTTGTTTGGGTTACAGGGGCTATTGATGAGTAACAAAATAATATTCAATTTTGAGTGATATGATTAATACTAGTGGCAGCTATGACAATGTGATTAATAATGTAGCACTAAAAATTCAAAACCTTGCTTCCTGCTTGCTCTTCCTCTGCATGTTGGCATATTTAGCCTTCTCACTTGTAATTATCCTCCCTCCAAACTGGAATAGGATTAACTAATTATAGTGGTGCCTTCAGACGCAAGCCATATCAAACAATCCAGTAACAAAGAATTGTCCGGTCTGCAAAAGTATGCCAAAAAGCTTAAAAAAAAAATCTCTCATATCTGCTTTTAGGCTCAGAACAAGGGAATTGAACTTCCCCACACAGCTCCCTCAATCTATTCCAGCTGACACAGGTACACCCTGCACATCCATTAAATTTATTTTCTTAAGATATTGTTTTCAATAAGTCAAATTTCTTTCTCAAAAATATATTTGGGTATAAGCATGCCCATCAGAGGGTCAGGACATGATGTCAGAAGCTAGGAGTATAAATCTTGGTGCTGATGAACTAGTTATATGAACTTAGCAAAATAACTTATCTTTTTAGTCTTACATTATTTACACCCTGGAATAATCTTCCTATTCCATAAAGCTATTGTGAGAAATAAATAGGATAGTTATATAAAGCAACAGACTCAATGTCTGTGTTGAGTCTGAATAAAGGTTATAGTCAATATGTCAACCATGGTTTTCCAAAAGTTTGTCTACAGTTTTCTTGCCTATCTTCATCTTCCAATACTCCTCCGTATGAATACTTTATGCCAGTCAAACCAGATTTCTAGTCAGTAACCACCATGCAATGACTCTGGCCATTCCTACTTTCTGGACTACCTTATCTCCAACTCTGTATTTAGTAATCCTACTCATCTTTCACAACTCAGCTGAGTTATTTCTAACTTTTTTTTAAAAGAAAACCTCTACTCAATTCTAATTTTCTCACTTTATAGGTAAAAAATTTCCAGAAAGCAGACCTTGCATTGCATATCATGCAAGTAGTTTCATGCTAGAGCTGGAAGCAGAAGTCAGGCTTCCTGCGGCACAGATTTCAGCTGTCCCACTACATCAATTCACCTTCATAGATATAGGACCATCAATTTTTAGATGTACCATAAGTACTGAGAGTAGAATTTACTTTTTATCCTTCCTTTACTTAAATGTGGATATAAGTTCTTTTAAGTGACAATTTATATAACTGCTTCTTTTCTTTTTCTTTCTTCCCCTTTTCCTTCATCCTGATGCCTAGAACATGGAAGTGATGGTAGAATTTCACAGTGGATCATGAGATTGAGTGCCACCTCCCAAGGATGACAGCAGAAAACTGAAATCTACTTATTTTCATTGACTCCCTGAGGCTTTCCAGGAACAGAGTCACAATATCTGTCGTGGATTGATTATATCTAGACTTTTATGTATAAAGGAAATAAGCTTCTATCTTATTTAAGTTGCTATTATTTTAGCTATCTATTATTTTGGGTATCTATTATTAGAAGCTTAACTTATACTATTATCCCTCTTAACAGCTTTTTGCTGCTCTCAGCTCTTCATACCACCTCCAGACATCTTACTTCATTATTTCATTAATTTAATCATTCACCCAATAGCCAGTCAATGTTCACCCACATTCTTCCTGGCATAATTCTAAAAGAGGATTTTAAGTGGAGACAGGAGTGAGATACACAGATCTTGTCCTTAGAAGTCATGACTGTTGAATGAATTTCTCATTCTCTTAAATCATGTATCAATTCATATATCTGGCAAACATTCATCTCAGAATTTCTTTCACAGTCCCATTTCAGATAATCTCACAATCTCTAATAATACATTGTTGATTAGGCTAAGTAATGTCTAGTATAAATATACTATAATAGACTAGTATAATATAAATATACTAGACATGTATATTTTATACATGCTGTCTATCCTTCACCTTTTCTTTGCCCTGGGAAGCGGATCTCTATGGGCTTCATCAATGGGCTCTTCTGGCTTCTGGTTTCTGGTCAGGTTGGCCTATAGAGAGTCTTAGTAAAAGATCAGAGAGAGGTAAAAGAAGGAGTCTGTACACTCATAACATTTTGGCAAGTGACAGACCACATATACACTGGTGGTCTCAAAAGATTATATCACCTAGTGATGTCACTGCTATAATTAGGTTCTGGTAACTATTGCCTCCCTCATGCCTTTTGTCCTGTTATTGGCCTTAGGAAACTTCACTATATTTTATGATTTTCCTACACACTGTCCACCCCTTGTAAACAGCCCATTTATTAAACCTTAGATTATCCTAATTTGAGCTACACCATCTGTTTCCTGCTAGCATGACTGATACACGTGTCCCAATTTTTAGTTCAAAATATAGATATCAGATATAGCTCCCACCTACAAAAAGCACTGTTGGGAAGAAGGTTAGAGTAGAGGGAAGATAATTAGCAAAATCTTAGTGTATAGAGAACCTCTGACTATAATAATATCATATGACCAAATTTGTCTCTGTGGTACTTGAGCCTTACTATGCCTCTTTCTTCCTCTTATTTTTGATGGTATCCTAGATTTATCTAGAAGAGGGACTTACTTCTATGTCAAACCTGCAGTCACTAGGCAAAGTCCTTTCTCCACTAACACATACCAGAAACACGAATACAGTATTTCCTGTCAGTATATTCACTTGGAATCTTTAGAAATGGCTCAATATGCCTACTTAGGGGCACAATAGACACTTCCCAATAAAACATAAAACCAAATTATCTCCTGCTTATTCTTTATTATCAACTAATGTATGGCTGACAAGAAAGAGCAAAACCTATGAATTCAATGAAAAGAACACTTCAAAATCTGGTTTAGTCAGGGGAGAGAGAAAAAGAGAGAAGATGTGATAGGTGAAATAATGCCCTTCCCCCAAAAGTGTTCAAGCCCTAATCCCCAGAATTTGTGGATATGCTACTTTGCATGACAAAAGGTACTTTATAGGTGTGATCAAGTTAGAGATATTGAATGGAAAGATTACCCTGGATTACTTTAGTGAACCAAACATAATCATAAGGATCTTTGTAAGTGAAAGAGGGGAAGCCAAAGGGAGCATGAGAAAGACTCAGTCAGCATTTGATGGTTTTCAAGATGGAAGGGAATCATAAACCAAGTAATGCAAGTAGCCTCTAGAAGGCAGAAAAGGCAGGAAAATGAACTCTCCCAGAGCCTCAAAAGGAACATAACATCTTATCCGCTAACATCACCATTTTAGTCCCTGGAACCCATTTTGAACTCCAGAATTATAAGATTAAAAAAAATTGTGTTATTCTAAGCCACCAAGTCTGAGTAATTTGTCACATCAATAATAGGAAACTAATATGAAATGGAAGACTAAAATTTCCAGACCCAAGGAACTAAATCTAAAGAAGGGAAGAAGAGTTGAGAAGAAAGGGATGGCAGAAACAGAGCACATTGTGGTCAGCACAACCAAACTGCACCCACTTGCTAACCTGTACTGTGAGCAAGTTGGATTCACTAGGAAACAAATTTATTCTTCATCTCAGAGGTTCACTCTCATAAAACACTTCCATGCCTTTTGCAGCATTCATAGAGGCCTTGTTTTCTTTCAGAGTTTTGGGGATTCAGCAGAACTTTCATATTTTTTCAGAGAGCTCTATCAGTTTCACTCAGAACAACCATCTGTCTTACATCTTATTCTGTTACTGCCTGGTGCCCAAAGTGCAATGAATCACACTATAAAAACAACATTTTAAAAATCATTAAACAATTATTAGCTATATGATAATTACTTATTTATATTATTACTTAATATATTTGAATTGTTAAGAGTTCCAGAGCATATAATCTACACACCACTAAGATTCATTATATTGCTAAGTCCCACCCCCAGGGTTGTTTCTAAACAGGCATCCCAAACCTGGTGCTGGCCTTACCACACTCTGGCCAAGCTGCTCCCGAAAGAAATAATCCATGTTTCTCTTTTGTAGGCTGTCAAGGTAATGCTGGAAGCGAGTGTATGTATATGGGTAGCAGTAAGCAAACTGATAAGTATCTTCTTCTCGGTCAAAACAGAATGCAAAGGACATCACATAATTCTTTCTATGGTCAGGGCAGCGGTAGTAGTATACATTTTTAGGTGGCAGCCTTTGCCTGAAAGATACAAACAAAGAAAGTTGGGCATAATAGATAGCAGTTCAGACTCCAAAAGGTAACAAATACCAGGAATAAATACCTAGGAGAAAAACCCTAACATCAAGAGCACTGGGTCATTCTGGGTGTGGTGGTGTACACTCAAAAGGTGAGGGTAGGAGAACAACAACACATGACAAGGTCAAAATCAGGCCCGAATTTGGCAGCACTTTGTTGAAAATCTGATTCTATCCTTTCTAGCTGTTGGAAAATGTGAAGTTGAACCAGTTTTACACATGTGTTTATTCTTATCTGAAGCACTTATTATATCACAGGTGTTTGTTATGCTAGGATTTGAATATACAATGGTAAACATGACAAGCATGGTCTTAGTCTTCATGGAGTGTATATCCTAATGGGGAAGTCATGAATAAAATATTTAAAAAATTAAGTATAGTTACAGACTCTAAAATTTCTTAGAGGAAAACAAATAATGTGATGTTAGAGAGACATCAATGTGTGATGCTTGTTTTCCCAAGGAAGTCAGGTTTTTTTTTATTTTATTGCAAGAGTAAGCCATTGCTTTTAAAATAAACCAATATGCACTGTGAACATTCAAAGAAAGGAAAAGAATATTCAACTATACTCTAAATTATTATTGTTACTTTTCTACAGACCATTCCATGATTCTAATTTTCCACAAAAGCACTTTGGGAAATACTGCTTTAAAACATGTTGTATAAGCAATTTTACTAAGCCATCATGCTCATTCTCCAGCAAGGAACACCAAGATGCATACATGAGAAAAGGAAAAAATTTCCAGTCATAGTTCCCATAACTTCTTTACACCTACCCACTTCGCAGATATCGCACCTTCTCATGTTTTACCATAGCCAAATTTCCCTGCACAGAATGCCTCTCACTTCTCTCCCTTCAAATCCTCTTAATCCTAAAAAACAACTCAAACTGTGCTTTTTTCCATGATCTTAGATTGACAGTTCTAAACCAGTACAATTCACATTTTGTAGTAACCCTTGCTTTCTTGTTGACTGCTTCATAAGTCTTATGCCCCTGGATGGATTTGGAAGATCCTCAAGAACAAAGATGCTTCTTGGGAGTGCTGGCACTGTGGATTAAGAATGGAAGGCTTGCCCATAGTGCGTTGGCTAGCATTCAGTTGAGAAATCAAGGGATGAAGAACTATGGAGGAAAGTTTAGGAGACGAGGTCAAGAAAAGCAAGAATGGTTCTGGCTCCAAGTACAGCAGCCTATAGAAAATTTTGAAGTGATAGATCCAAGACTATCATAACATGTTAGTGTTTTTTTGTTTTGTTTTGTTTCTGTGCAGAATCTTATTTCCATTTTTTGTGTCTTTCTGAGACTGCTTATGTCACCAGGGTGAGAGGTGAAGCTGTGGGATTTCTGCCTAAGAGCAGAGATTACATAGCACTGATGCTTGTCCATATAGTTAGCTATATTAGATTTAATGAAATATTCTAGCATTTGATTATATTAGAAAAAAGTATCTGAAGTGGTGGGCCTGGGATCTAAGACAGACAAGAACCTGAAATTGCTGAGGAGGACAGAACAATAAGATAACCTGGCATAAACAAAAAGGAATAGGACTTTCCATATCAAAGCCTGTCTAGAGGTGCACTTAGGCACATCAATGGTCGAATTACCTCCTACTCCCAAAGCCACTGAGAATAAACATGTAACTAACAATCTTTTTATAATTCTGGTATAGCTTTGGGACAAATACACTAGGCACACCTTCTCCTAACCAGAATGCTTCCCTGAATCTTCTTACATTGAAATTTTAGGCCTACCAGTGATAATGTAGAGAAACAATGGCCTGGAAGGCACTATCCGTCTATAGGTGGCGTGCAATGGGGGAAGTAGTGTCCGCCAAGACAGGATGTAGTTGGTTGTTTTATTCAGCAAATATTTAGTATCACGTACAGACTGCAGTTTGGTTAAGACAAGAGGTGAAGGAAGTGGTGCACTAAAAGACAGATTATCAACCATGGTGCTGAATTCCACAGGAAAAGTGAAGAAGGAAAGGAGTAGTGGGAAGTTGAGATTAGAGCGGTAACAGCAGAGCAGGGCAGTTATGAAGGTGAAGAAAGAAGATACGATGTTGCACATTTGTAATGTGATTAAAGATGCAAGAATGTGAAGGTGGCAGAATAAGCTAGTCTCAGGGGTTCATTTATACTTAGGAAGAATGCCAATGGCTTCCAAGAAGCCTTAAAGTGTCGTCTAGCTAGCAGTTTGTGATAATCGCTTTGGACTCTGACTTGGAGGTCTGAGTGTGAGTCTCCTCACACTCATGGTAAGCATGTTTTCCTACACAGGTGATTCCTAAAGTCATGAGGTCCCTCAGGTTATCATTTATTTTCAACTCTCTTATTTACCATTATATCCGGTTAGGGTCTATACTTTAAATTCAATCACTCTAGGTTTTCCCTCTTCTAGCCAAATTTAGCAACTTGATTTTGAATTTGATTGTCTGTTATCGGGAGAATTCATCTATTGCTTGCAGCTGTCCCAGCTCCTCTCTCTCCTGGATGGGTCAAAATACCTAAACTGATTAGCAGAGGGAAGGGAAGTAATTGGCCCTGGAGTAATCATTCAGGGAATTTGATGTTGCTCAGGGCTTAGATTTTCCAGACCTCCAAGGACACAAATAGAAACTTAGTTGAGAAGGGCTGAGCAGGTCAAATTCATCAGGCCTTTTAAGTAATGCAAAGAATAAAGACAAAGGGGACTTAGATTACGGAGGAGATGCATCTTTCTCCCTTGGAATTTATTTCTGTTTTATTTTTCTTATTATGTTCTCATCATGTCTCAGGCATTGAGCTAAGTATTTTATATGCATTATCATTTAATCTTCACATTAACTGAGTCTGGGGTTATTAACATCCCCTTTACACAGAGAAGTTAAAAAAAAAATCCCTGAGGTTGCAAGGTTAATGAGCAGCAGATCCTGTATTAGATGGAGACCAGTGTGGCTCTAAAGTTTGGTGCTCATAACCTCTGTGGTATCTTGTCACAATGCTTTTCCTTTTGCTGCTCAAATTATATATAACCTTACCTTCCACTTAAGTATAAGTGCTCTCACCAGTACATCCTTCAAACAACTCTCTGTCCTAACATTTCAGTTTGTCTCACAAGGCTCTCTGGGATCTCCTTATTCAGGCATCAGCACCTATCTCTCCATTCTCAAACCCTATGCTTTATTCATAAGGAACTGCTTACAACTCCTTAACATTATTGTGTACCATACCTCCATGTCTTTGTACTTGATCTTTCCTCCACCTGAAGTGCCTTTGGTGCACTTGGTGAACCTCTACTCATAGATGTGGCATATGGTCGATTGTTTACAAAGGTATAAATATTTTTAAAATAAACTAATCAATGAACAAGGGCATGTTTAAATAAATGCTTATCCTTTAACATTCTTCCCTTCTAAATCCTTCCCTGAGTATTCAGTCTTCATACATCTTTCTCTACTTTGACAAAGGAGTTTTATTACTTGGTTTGTCTCCTAATAATGAGCAATAAACAAATGGATATTTAGATAGTTCTGCAAAGAGAATGTAGACTTCTTGAAAATGGGAACTGTGTCACCCCTTTCTTTACTTCCCCATTAGAGATGGCACAGAGAAGTCTCCAACAGTACTTTTTTATTAAAAGTAAAATAAGATAAAACATGAAAAATTGAAAATAAGACTCATCCTAGAAACTCAATGGTAAGTATCACAGGAAGGCAGATTTTAGCTCAGTAAGACATAGGGACTCTTCAACACTCAGCTGAAGGGAAAGTAAAGAAGCTGGCCTTGTTGGGGAGGACAGCATGGGAGGCTTTAAGAGATTCTGTAAAGAAAGTTCCTGAACTTGGTGTTAGATTAGATGAGGCAGTCTTCTGATTCTTCTTAGCACAGAAGAGGTAAGCCAAGGAAACAATATATCATAATTATCAGAGTACTTTTATATGCATGCATGTGTCAGCCCATTCTAAGAATTTTATATGGTATTAACTCTTTAAATCCTCACAAAAATATTCTGAAGTTATTCCTATTATCCCTACAATATGGTGAAAATGATGATATAGTCAAGAACCCCATTTTAAGCAAAGCAGAATGTCCATGACTCTCTCCAGAAGACAACAGGAAGGAAATGGTCAATACCTGATCCTTCAAGAGACCCAGGAAGATTTCAAACCCTGGTGTGTATGCTCTCAGGAATAGATAATAACAACTGATCTAGCCCTTGGAACAAATAATTGTCTGAGTCCATCGTGATAATGGAAAAGGATATCCACATGTATGAAGGTCTGTAAGTCTCATTCCCAGATTCAGGCAAGTACACAGAAGTGGGTTTACACACATGCACACATACACACACCCATACATATGTGTATGTACTCAGCACACTAGCAAACATACTCTATACTTTTCTATCACAGCCTCTATCCCACTGTATTAGTCTGAACATATGCCTTTCTTCAATGTTAAGACTGAGCTCTCCTTGAGGGCATTACTGGTATTCCAGGACCTATACAGAGCCTTACATAGGTGAGGTGGTCAAAAATGTTGATGAATTAGAGAAATGAATATATTTGTGAGTAAATAATTTCGGCCACACTAATATGTGTACATTGTATACATGTGAATCTATGAGTCATGACCCAAATATATGATATTCCCCAAAACCTCCTTGCCTTTCTACGTAGTGTATCCCTATCGTAGAGAATTAAGGCCCAGCTCAAATGTTATTTTCTCTTTGAATTTTTGTCAGTAACTCCAGGATGAACTCATTGCTAGAAATATTAATTGTATATACTGCTGTGTTTCTGATTTGTCTCAAAATCCACAGCACTTAGCACAATGCTTGACACTGAAGAAGTGTTCAACACATGCTTTTGAATGAATGAAGGAATGAATGAATTTATGATTACTAAGTGAATGAACAATTACTTCACTCCCATTTATCACCTTCTCTCCAAATTCATCAGGTAAATTCACAAAGCATCATTTTGGAGGTTACTAGAACACAAGGAAGAAGAAAATCTCAGAAAACAATGGAATATACAAAGCTCTCTAAACTCTCCTTAGTATCCCTGAAATACAAGAGCCCTAATTTTCTCTCTAATCAAGCAGAAAATATGGATATAGACAGGTAAGTTCTAAACACAGAGAATTCTTTGATAGGAGACACAAATTTTCTCCTCTAATTAGCAAAAGGGAAATAGAAAAGAATCAGTCTTTTCAGGTTTTAAGAACTAGCACAGGTACGAAAACCAAAGGAAGTCACATATATATTAAGCACGCCTTTGTATGCCAATGGTGTGCTGTTTGCTGTACACTAATATCTGACTAGTAAGTAAATTTTCTTACCACTACACCATGGTTGTACTACCTGAAATTCATGTAGAAATTATGGTTATACAATCTCCTGATTCTCATATTTCATTTATCCAGGAGCAGGAAGCATACTGGCATCTACTTTACCAGGTATATTTGAAGCAGAGATAAGATTTTATTCCTCTTCCCTTCATGAGGGCAGCAGAATCTCTCACCTGTCATATATGCCAACACATGGCCTTTACTCTGTGTTTGACTTGAATAATGGATAAGTTCTCCCTGGCTGAGCCAGTTGGACTCTGCTTTTCCTCTCTGGTGTCTGGCACAGCTCAGCGCCTGGCATGGATGCCCATATTATAAATCTACCCTCTCTAGGCAAACAGGACACACTCCTAATTCCAATCCTATCTCCCCCAAATAATTATAATGCTCCTGTCACCAGCACATCTATTCTTATCTCTCTCTGTACTTTGTAACAGCTAATATCCTGGTGAGTCACAGGGAGGGGGAGAAAAAGAGAGT